CCCAGCACTCCATATGGTCCCCCAGGGCTTCAGGAATGATGGCTGTGCGCAGAGCCAGAAGTAAGCCCTGAGTAAGTGTAGAATAACATTAGTTTGTCTTTTCTCCCTCGTCACCGGGAGCTTAGGTTTATCAGGTTGCACCCATCACAGTGCTCCCAAAAAACTCCCATTCCTTTGTTTATCTGTAACCTCTTTCTTTGTGCTCTGCTTCCACAACTGGTCAATCACCTTCTTCTCCTAATCAAACTCTGTTAACTTGTAAGGTCAGATCCTTCAAAGGACACTGGACTTGTATTCATAAGTGAAATATTGCTTTTCTCTTCTCCTTAAGTCCTTTGCATTAATTCAGAGTAATGTCCTTTTTGTATAGACACAGGAAGACAGTTAATGCTATGCTTTTGTAACTTGGAAGTTAAATGACTCTGAATAATATTCACTCCTGGGCTTCTGTTTTCTCAACTTAAGCCTCAGCCACCCTTACTTCCTAGCATCCCAAAAGCAGGGTCCCGAAGAGGGACTGGATGGACCCAGGGCAAGCTGTGAGCTAACCTGGCCAACTGGGCCAGGCCAAAGCACCATAGTACTTAACTGTAAATTAAGAGCATGATCATGGACAGATTCTGTCATGATCCAAAAAGTAACAACTAGATTAGGACCCTGCTAGGGTTAGGAAAAGACTAACTTGGCCCGAGCACTGTAGTCTGAGATCTATAGCAAGATGTCCCCAGAAGAGGCATCCTATAAGCTCTATGTATCTCTTACTGTGTCCATGGGCTGGAGCGATAGCACAGCAGGTAGGGCGTCTGCCTTGCACGCGGCTGGCCCAGGTTTGATTCCTCCGTCCCTCTCGGAGAGCCCGGCAAGATACGAGAGTATCTCACCCACATGGCAAAGCCTGGCAAGCTACCCATGAGGAATTCAATATGCCAAAAACAGTAACGAAGTCTCACAATTTGTTGTGAGATGTTATTGGAGGACAGTGCTACAGTGCTACCGTGTCCATACAAAATGACTAATATTATGAATGTTTATGTTTGTTGGACTAAAGAAAGGAGAAACACACCCATAGATGGTATTTCACCCTTGGGCAGAATGAGAATTTGTCCAGAAGAAGCTTCCCCTGAGGGAAGGACTTTACCTCTGTTGATTGTATGACCACATCTACGTGTAGCACTGTAGCACTGTCCTCCAGTTGTTCATCGATTTGCTCGAGTGGGCCCAGAAACATCTCCATCGTGAGACTTGTTGATACTGTGTTTGGCATATTGCATACGTCACAGGTAGCTTGCCAGGCTTTGCTGTACGGGGGAGATACTCTCGGTAGCTTGCCGGGCTCTCAGAGAGGGGTGGAGGAATCAAACCTGGCTGCTCTTGGCCGGCTGTGTGCAAGGCAAACGCCCTACCGGTGTGCAATCGCTCCACCCACACCTATGTGTAATCCTCATGATTTGGACTATAACTAAGGCTGTAAGGGGGGGGGGGAGGGGGAGAGTGAAGGTGAATCAAGGAGAATCCAGGAGAAGTATGAAGGAGCGGGATCCAAGAGGAGGATGAAGGGGATAGAGGAAGAGGATCAGGAAAAGGAATGGAGACGAGACTGGAATAAACTGCGACTGATACCAACCAGCCTGGCCCTCATATCCTCCTTTGTCCACCCACTGCCATCGGCCACCCCAGGGTGGGGAAAGCGGCCCAAGACCACCAAATGCAGGCAGTGAGAGAGAGCCGCCACAGATTTTGTATTTGTTTCTTGAATACACAGTAAGGAGTAAGCAGGGTGTGATCCAAAAACCCAAAAAGTTAAAAAGAAAAAAAAAAGAATAGGTGAGAAGAGAATTCAAGCACTCTCATCAACTACACAGCCAACAGGGCCAAATGAAGGCCATTCTTGGAACTTACCTTACAGAAGCCTCTTCAGTAACCTCCTCGCCTCCTCCCTACACCCACAAACCGTTCCACAGAGAACACATAATGGGCCTTTACAATTTAGGTCCGAGCGGGTTATTTTCTCTACTCACTCCAGGCTTCGATCAAATGTCACCTGAACACTACTTCCCTAAACAATGACTACTGTGAAATTCTCTTCTGCCTGCCCATGGCACTTTTGACATATGAGAGGTTATTTTTATCTTCAGTATTTATTAGCTTTCTCTCCTCAGCAGATGTAAATTCCTTACAAGTAATATGACACTCTTTTCCCGAAGCCATCACTCAATGTATGCCTTAAATATACAATTCAATTAAAAATTCTGAAGATTTTTAAGTAATCTCTGTAGAACTATTTTTTTTCGACAAATTATTGATCCAAGTTAGCAAAAGACAAAGGTGCATTCAAATCAAACAAAAGAAAATTTAAGGCATGGTTATTGCTTTACTAAAGAACATAATGAACATTAACTCAATAAAACGCCTTCATAAAATAGTTCCTCAGCGTAATGTTAAAGAAAAACAGGATCTACAGAAATCTACAATAATTTACTCTGCAAAATGGCTTGGTGCAGTAAGTGGACAAAGAACTACAAATAAATAGTTCATCGTTAATTCAAAATTGGTTCTTATTGTTTTTTGGGGCCACACACAGCTGTGCTCGGGGAATCACTCCTGTCCAGTACTCTGGAATCAGAATGGAGTGCGAGGGATCAAACCTGTATTGACTTCGTACAAGTCAAACACCTTATCCGCTGTACTCTCTCTCCAGCCCCACTACTTCCTTTTTTGTTTGTTTTAATTTTCAATAGTGAGACATCATGAGGTAGAGTTGCAGACTTACACATTTTTGTGCTTGGGTTTCAATTATACAATGATCAAATTCCCATCCCCCCACCAGTGCCCATTTCCCACCACCTCGGGTCCCAGTGTCCCTCCCACCCCCCATCCCCCCATCCCACCCTGCCTCTGTGGCAGGGCATTCCCTTTTGTTCTCTCTCTCTTATTGGATGTTGTGGTTTGCAAAAGTACTACTTCCTTTTTTTACATACAAAGTTACCCTAATTATTCATCTATAAATTTCCTTTTTTTAATTAAAAAAAGGCCCTCCCGTTGATCGTCGATTTGCTCGAGCAGGCCCAGTAACGTCTCCATTGGAGACTTTGTTGTTACTGTGTCTGGCATATCGAATACTCTCGGTAGCTTGCCGGGCTCTCCGAGAGGGGCGGAGGAATCGAACTCGGGTCGGCCAACATGTAAGGCTTGTAAGGCGAACGCCCTACCCGCTGTGCTATCGCTCCAGCCCTAACCCTAACCCTTTTAATTCCTTTTAATTAAAAGGAATTAATATTTAATTAATATTTCATTCCAGTCTTTTAATTACAATTCCAATCAGTCTCTTCTTTATATACAACTTTCAAAGAATACTGAAGGAAAATGGGTGGACAAATGTTTTTTATTAGCAGTAAAACAGCCAAATTAAATGGGATGCTCAAGGTATGTGCAAATAACACCTTTTCCCTCACCTCCACACTCAATAAGACCATTACAGAAATAAACCTTTGGCTTATGTTGATAAATTTAGGCCTTTCCTATCATCAGCAGTGCAAGTCTGTGTTATGTGTACCTATACACTCAGGTACAACAACAGCACAAACATCCATCTTATAAAAATTCTTCAGACAATTCTTTTGCCAGAGATGCTCAGGGCTTACTCCTGGACCCACACTTAGGGACCACTCCTGGCGTGGGGGGGTCACGGGGACCATATTGGACAGCAGGGATGGAACCTGGGCCCGGTTGGCTGTGCGCAAAGCAAGCACCCTACCCGCTGCCCTATCGCTCCGGCCACTGAAATCCTTCAGACCACATTAGAAAATATTAGAAAATATTAGAAATCATTACAATTTCTTTTCCCTAGAAATTGCTCCGCATTTCTGTGTCTGTCTCTTTCTTACACACACACACACACACACACACAAGTAAACCACCATATCTTTAAAATCATGCGCAGTAAAAATAAACAAACAACAGCAATGGGGGGAAGGTGCTAGTCCCATTTGCATCTACACACACACACACACACACACACACACCGTGCCCAGTCCGCCCAGTGACTCAGAGGCTCCCGCTGGCTCGCAGCAGGTGCCCGCAACAGGCCGCAACGATGACATCAGCCTCCACCACGGCAACAAGGCAGGTGCCCGGGTGCCCGGGGGAGAGATTGGGTGCCCGGGGCGGGGGGGGGGGGGGGGGGGTGAGCCCTCCGGGGAGGGGCGGAAACCAAGAAGAACCCAGGCAGCTGGTAGGCCTCGCCGCACACCGCAGGCTGCGGCCCCGGGATTGCATCCGCCCTCCCCCCCACACACACACACAAACACATAAAAGACACCAAAAAAAAATAGAAGCTTTTCCGCAGCAGTCACAACCGTTCCCATTGCCAGCTGCGTTTTAACGCCGGACCCGGGAGCCACACGCAGGGCTGGAGGCCGGCTGCAGTGCTCCCGGGGCAAATTGGCATCTGTTCCACTGGGGGGGAGAAGGGAGTATTTTGAGAGAGGACCCCCACCCCCCGCCTTCCCCAACACAGGAATCGGCCTTGAAAAATTTCTGCCCTTGGGGCTGGAGCGAGAGCACAGCGGGGAGGGCGTTTGCCTGGCACGCGGCCGACCCGGGTTCGACTCCCAGCGTCCCATCCGGTCCCCCTGAGCACCGCCAGGAGTCAGCCCTGAGTGCATGAACCAGGAATAGCCCCTGTGCATCGCCGGGAGTGACCCCAAAAGCAAAAAATAAATAAATAAATAAATAAATAAATAAGAATTTCTGCCCTAAGATGCAGCGTGGCCGTCGCCGGCCCCGCTCATCTACACGACCCCCGGCTCCGGGATCGCGGTCCGCTCCGACTCCCGCTGCTCCGCGGGGCCTCGTGGGAGCCAAGAGACCCCGGGCTGGGCACCGCGGCCCCCTCCCCCGGGCCCCTCTGGAGCTGGGCACGGAGAGAAGAGACGGCGGCAGGGGGCCGCAGAGGGGCCGGAGACGGCGCGGAGGGGACAGCGAGAGCCGCACTCACTCACCCGGGTCGTTCCAGCCCACGGCAGGGCCCGTCGCCAGCGCCAGCCAAAGGAGCCCGAGGACGGGGCCTCGCCCGGCAGCCCAGGGACGGACCATGGTCGCTCGTCGGCCGGGGATGCGCGGCGGCCGGAAGCGGCCTGCGGAAGTGCGCGGGCGGCGGAGCAGCGGCCGCGGCTGGGGCGAGGGACGGAGGGAGGGAGGGAGGGCGGCCGGCCAACGGCAGCCGCGGGCGAGGTCTGGGGCCCGGCGCGCGCGTCGGGGAACGGGAGTGGACGCTGCCGGCCCCGCCCCCCGCGGCTCAGCGAATGAGGGCGCAGCGGGGGCGGGGCAGAGGGCGGGCGCTCCCGTGGGAGGCGGGGCCAAGGGCGGAGCGGGGGCGGGGAAGAGGGCGGGAGCTCCCTGGGAGGCGGGGCCAAGGGCGGAGCGGGGGCGGGGAAGAGGGCGGGCGCTCCCTGGGAGGCGGGGCCAAGGGCGGGAGCTCCCTGGGAGGAGGGGCTGAGGGCGGGGACAAGGGCGGGGACAAGGGCGGGGCCAGGGCGGGGCCTCGAGGTGGGCGGGAGGACCGCGAGTCTCGCTACAAAGAAACACCGTGAAGATGCGGTGGGCGGAGACAATGAAACCAGCCGTGGAGACCGTGCAGGGAAACCATAGAAACCAGAAAAGGTGTCTAATAAATGGAAACAAGTTATATGGTATTTCCAACCTCTCACTAGCCTTCCGGGGAAACTTAATGTCCCTGGTGTTCATTCCATTTTATGTCCTCAGCGCGGCACATAATTTTATTTGCTAGGTAGGGCAGTTTGCCTTGCGTGTAAGCTGGCCAGGCCAAGCCGGTTGGATGCCTCCGCCCCTCTCCGAGAGTCCGGCAAGCTACCAGCAAGCTGCGGAGAGTATCTCGCCTGCATGGCAAAGCCTGGCAAGCTACCCGTGGCATATTTGATATGCCAAACTCAGTTACAGCAAGTCTCACAACGGAGACGTTACTGGGCCTGCTAGAACAAATCGATGGACAACGTGAGGACAGTGCTACAGGGGAAAGATGTAAGCGACAGTAGCAAAGAAATATAGTCTCTGGCTTCAGAAGCTCTGAGCCCTCACATATTTCCTTCTACTTGGTTGCCATAAGAATTTTCCAGATGCCATGAGGAGAAACTACTGCCTATATAAGCAGCTAGGGTAAAACAGTTCTAGGTGAACAGACTGTTTTTTGGGGCCTGACTGTCTCTCATTTACTCATTCAACAAATTTAAGTGGAGAGCTGAAAGCCTAATAGGATTCCATGCATTGTTTTAAGATGGAGGATACAGCTGTGGTCCTTGAACTCATATAGCTTAAACTGAAGTGAGATTAACTGTGTAAGTTGTATAATACTGAATGAAGATAACAGGTAGTGATCAGTGCATTTAAGAAAATTTAAAAGAGTGATAGAATAGAAACTGGGGGTTGTTTCAGAAAAGACCTTGCAAAAGATGGACTGTGACCTGGCTTCTTACCACCAAGAAGAAAAGAAAAAGATTGAAACAGCTATACAAAGATCAACACCTTCACCCCTGAGTAACAGTGAATGTGTTTTGACAAACATCCCATTCATTAATTTAAACACACCTTGTATACTGAGCACTTATCTACAAGCACCTGACAGCTCTTTTGAGTACATGTTTTAGGAACTAGGGAGATAGCATTGGAAGGAAGGAGTGGAAACTGGCCAACGAAGCCAGTGTTAAATGGAACAAAGAAATTCAGGCAAGAGTGAAGGCACTTCTGTTCTCAACTTGTAGTTACTGCCTTAGGAGGTAGAATGCTTCCTGCCAGAGGCTGTGCAGATGGTCGGGACCCACACTTGCTCCACGGGCCTGGATGACTGTCAGCTGGGAGTCTAATGTGCCTGTCCTATTGGAGTCGTTCAGAGTAACCAGGGACCTAGAACAAAACACAAGCCAGAGAGGGTGGGTGTAAGGAGCAGGCTCTAGAGAGACGAGCCATAATTCTGTCTCAGTGGGAATATCCCCTTGAAGGCAGGGTCACATTACTCTATTGTCTGCAGGAAGATTATCCAGAGGGCAGGCCTGGGTAACCTCCAATAAGAGACACCTAGGTGCCCCAATGTCTGGAGAAACTCTGACCCTATTAGGTGACAAGTCCAAATGGAGATTGGATGTGGCTAATTTCCAACCGCTGTCTCAGAATGATATTTGGAGAATGACTTTGTCCCACCTGACAGGCTATGGAGATAGTTGGGGCAGAACTCCACAGGATTGGGGATCACAAGCTATCCGAGGCCTGCTGAAGTGGTGCTATAGTGCACGCCTGCATACACAGTTTAAAGGAGCCAGGAGTGTCGACATGGCATGGATCTGGAAAAGTCAGGCCATGCAATAGGAGCCTGCAGTAAAGAGGCATTTATCTGCCGAATTCCATGTCCTAGTCTGCACAAGAGTATATTTCTCCTGAATTCAGGGCGGTGCAGAGGGTCTGGGATACCTTAAATAAGAAAGAACTCGGGAACTTTGTTGCAAGAAAATTCAGAAACCTTGTAAGGCAATTCCAAATGGGGACTGAATGGCAGAAATTTTTAGCTGTCACTTAACAGGAATACTGTAGTGGGGCTGTGGGCTGGAGGGGGTACCAACCTATCAGAAACTATGCAAGTGGTTGGCCAGTGAATTGGTGGTGGTGCCGGGAATTGAGCCCAGGTCGGCATGGATCCGAAGCAATGGAACCGCACACAAGGGTTGCACATGACTGACCAGGATTCGACCCCTGTATCCCATACAGGTCCCAGGATAAATTCCTGACTGCAGAGACAGAGCAGCCCAGATCACTGCCAGATGTGGCCCCAAAACCAAGACAAAAAAGGGCTGAATAATTTATAGGAATTTACATTTTTTAGGAAACATCTCAAATTCTACTATAAGTGGTCTTGGAAATACAAAACTCGGAAACACTTTTGGTTTTGTTTGGTTTTTTAGCTTGTTTGGGAGTCACACCCAGCAGGGCTTTCTCCTGGCTCCATGCTCAGGAATCATTCCTGGAAGTATTCTGGAGACTGTATATGGTGCCAGAGCTGAAACCTGTGTTAGCTGTGTATGTGACAAGCACCTTTCTTGCAGTACTGTCTCTCCAGCTCCAACACTTTTGTTTTTAAATTTTTTTATTGAGGCTCTATGATTTGCAACACTGTCCTCAGTGGTTTCTCATGCACATAATTCCAACACCACACCCATCACCTTCCCTTCAGCCACCCCCACAACTCTTTTTAAGGTCTGAAGTGACTCAACATCTAGAGACCAAAAATAGTCCTTATGGAGTAGAGAGTACTTCCTTCCTGAAAACACTGAATCTCAAGGAAAAAGTAAAACAAAAGCAAACTCTTTAGAATGTAGTGGGCACAGAAGCAAAAGAATAGAGTCATATAACCTGATGAACCATCCTAGTTGCCTATTAATTTCAAGTACCAACATCGGCAATCCTGATCTATTATTACTCAATAGAGGAAATTAGGCTTACAGCACTTACTAGGCCACTGAGGCTTGTGGAAGCTACTAAAGACTTCCTAAAATGTGATCTTCCTCCGGAAGCCAAGCTGTGGCTGTCTGTGAGCAACACAACCCTTCTCACACCACTGACCTACTAACTCGACTCTGTTCCCTCAACCGTACCTGCTTGCCAGGATGAAATACTTTGGAAATGAGGTAGGAATTATAGCAATAGCAAATTAGCAATAGAGAATTAACTGAATGGTAGATTACTGAGAAGATTGAAACACCCAACATCCTTGCAATTCTTGTAGTTAACAGCTTTTGATATGAGCGCTCAAAAGAACTAGTTTTAACTGTTTGTGAATGTATGCTCAACAGAGACCCCCGACCCTAATTTCATCTTAGTCCTCCAGTAATGCCAAAATACACATTAACTCCCATGATAACTGTGTAATGAGATTCTAATGATACATGTAACCTCATAGTACCCTGTAATCCCAATACACCTGCGAGACTAGAATAACCCCTTCAAATACTTCATGCCTCAGTAAACTTACCCTATAAAATCCTCACCCCAAACCCAGCAACCTCCACTCTCCCCTGCACCTATGCCTTCAGTAAGTACACACATTTATAAAGGTGTATACTTTATTTATTTATTTATTTATTTTGCTTTTTGGGTCACACCCAGCAATGCATGGGGGTTACTCCTGGCGATGCAGTCAGGAATTACTCCTGGCGGTGCTCAGAGGACCATATGGGATGCTGGGAATCGAACCCGGGTTGGGCCGCATGCAAGGCAAATGCCGTACCTGCTGTGCTATCACTCCAGCCCCAAAGGTGTATACTTTATAAATCTTCTAGCTATCTACAATTTTTTTCTGCTGCTTTCTGTGTCTCGCCCTTTGATTCTTTCTCCAACAAAGACAAAGAACCTGGCATCCAGATTAAGGCCGCTCACTGCCCTCTCTGACCAGAAAGAGTAAAATCTTATCCTATTTCAAGTTCCATGATTCCCACAGCCCTAAACTCCAGAATGGCGCAGATCAGCTCCCAGGTCATGTGGATACCAAACTTCAGTCATCCCACTTGAACAGGCTGTCCTTTCCGGATTGGCAGGGCAGTTGCCTCATTAGGGTTCTCTCTAAATTCTGAGGCTTCCCCAAATCAACCTTCCAACAACAGAACAAAAGGGGATCAGAATCTTATGGGTACAGTGCTTGCCTTGCAAGTGGCGCACCCAGGTTTGGTCTCCAGCACCTCATATGGTCTCCTGAGCTGGCCAGAAGTGATCCCTGAGGACAGAGCCAGGACTAAACACTGAACACCACTAACTTGGCTCCGCCAAAAAGGATAGGCGTCAGAGTATAACTATTTGAGTTAGAATAACTCCTCCAGGAAGTGTATCTTCTTCCAAGGCATCTCGGCAGAAGGATGCATCCACACATCTGTTCCAGTTTTCAGGGAAAGGAGTGGCTGGCTCACCAACTGTATCTAAATAGTACACATTTGCACAGCAAATGTTCAAGGACACCTGGTTTTCTGCAACCAAGATCCTTAAGTGGAAACTATCTCCACTGCACAAGAAACCACAGAAGAATATTTTGGTGGTAATTAGAATAGTAGGAAGCCTCCTCCAAGAAGACATTTATGCACTTACTGGGACATTAATGTCAAGAAGTGACCTATTTGAAATGTTCTGAATAGAAGCTGAAAGTAGGGGAGGCAAATAAGGATGGTACAGGGATAAAGGCATTTGCCTAGCACATGGCTGACCCTAGGTCAAATCCCTGTCACTGCATCGTCCCTGCAGCAGTACTGGCTAGGAGTAGGCATGGAGGTCTCCATCACCAGTAGGGTCCACTGGCCCCCACTACCACTATGTCCCACTCCCGCAGTCCTAGTACCACACAGCCAAGCAGAGTATACCGAGATGGACTCCAGCCTCTCAAGCACTGCTGGGGAGCCCCCACCACTGAGATAGAGGGCAGTCACTGGCAGCACTGATGGACAACCCAGATGGACTCAGCCTTGAGATCATGGGCAACATCTGTAAATCGACAACAACTGCTAAGACAAACTGCCTAACAAGCAAAACACCCTGAAGCGAATCTAGCCCCATCCACGCCTCATGAAAGAAAAAGAAAAATTGCTCATTAGAGAGGCAGGAAAGGAGGAGAGCGGCTGCCCCTTACTGGGAACCCCTTCCCACTACTTCGGTCCTGCTGGCTGTTTCCAGAGAAACGCGGGACTGATCTCTCATCTGAGGCTGCTGGCAGGAACCCGTTGGGGTAAACGCCCCCCACCCCCAAGACTTTGATGCTGGGAGGGGGGAAAACTCCAGAGGGTTTACTGTAGCACCAGAGTATCCGGTCCCCACCCACAGCAATGCCACCCACGATCCTCCCTTCAACAGACCAAGCTCTGGGAGTCCCAAGGTTACAGTGCAGGCTCACCCTGGCCTCGCCCCAGGTCGGGGGGCTTTTGACCATTTCTCCTCCTTTTGTTGCACACCTAGTTCCACCTCCCTGGGGAACCTCTCCCCTCCCTGACAGGGCTAAGTTCTCCTAGGCCCCTCCCGTGTTCCCCGAAATCATCCGTGCTGCAATTTCATACTTCCTCGGGATGGTATCAAGTTTTGATCGCGATACCAGCCCCGATCCGCACACAGAGCCAAGGTTCGATGCATCTGCAGGATGGCCAAGGTTCGATGCATCTGCAGGATGGCCAAGGTTCGATGCATCTGCAGGATGGCCAAGGTTCGTTGCATTTGCAGGATGACTTAAAAATCCGTGTGTGTTTGGGCTTTCCTCCAAGCCCCAATTTTTTTTTTTTTTTAGCCTTCTTATTAGCTCCCCCGGGGGCCTGGCGGAGCCCAGAGAATACGCCTCGCGGCTTTCGGAAAGCAAAACCAACCAACCAACCAGAAAAACCAGCAAAAACGAAAGCCGATCGCCGCGCTGGCCAGCCCCGGCGCGGACGTGGGAGGCGCGGGGCGGGGCGGGGCGGGGCGGGGCGGGGCGGCGCGGGGCGGGGCGGGGCGGCGGGCGCGCGCGGAGGGGGACGGCGAGCGCGAGCCGGGCCGGAAGTGCTGCGTCGCGCACTTCCGGGTGTTGTCTGGCCGCCGCCTCCGCCGCCGCCGCCGCGCGTCTCGGGGCTCCCGGCCGCCGCCGCCGCCGCCTCAGCCCTGGGAGCCGCCAGGAGCGACGTCCGCGCCATGGCCGGCATCAAAGGTGGGCGCGGGGCCGGGGCTCCGGGGGGCTCGAGGGGGCCGCGGGAGCGAGGGGGGCTGAGTCGGGGGGAGGGTGGGGGTCCCGCGCGGCCCCTGCACCGCCTTCCCGGCCTAGGCGCGCGCCGCGTGGGGGGGGGGTCCCGGCGCCGGGGCGGGGAGGAGGTGGGCGCGGGGCCCTCGGGGAATCGGGGGCTTCCCTTTTCCCCCCTCCCAGCCCCTCGCCGGCCGCGTCCCCCACCCCGCCCATCACCCACCACCCCCCCCCCCCGGGACGGAGGATGGAGTGGGCGGGCGCGGGTTGCGGGAGGAGTCCCGCAGCGACTGGCGCCACCACCGGACACAGTTGGGGGTGTTGGGGGTTTTATTTTGTTGGTTTTTTTTGGGGGGGGGGGGTTTGCAGGAGTTTGCATTCGGGAGAGGGGCCGGCGAAGTGGTGTCGGGGGGTGCGGGGAGGAGGCGTCGGGGTCTCGGGCCTCGGGGAGCGGCGAGACGCGGGCGCGGAGTTCGCGCGTCCCTCGGGAACGGCCCGGGCGCGTCCAGGCGGGGTCCAGGGCTGGTCCCGGGCCACCTCCCGGCGGGTGGGGGGCCGCTCGCTGCCCCCCGGGCATCTCCGGGGCGACCCCGCGAACGGCGCCCGGTTCCCTCCCCTCCCCTCCCCGCCCTGGCGCGTCGAGCCTTTTTTCCTGCACCCAGAGGGGGTTCGTTTGTTTCTGCTTTGGGGCGGCGGTTGTTCCTTTCCCCGGAGCCCAGACTTCCCGGGAATTTGGCTTTTCGAAAAGGTCGGGAGTGGGTTCCCTGGGGACCCCCGCGGGGGAGCGAGTCCCGCTGCGCAACGAGCGTTTCCGAGCGCGTCTGCACCGCCGCCTGCCCCTCGGGTTTCCGACCTGCCCCTTTGGCAGCCAAGCAGGAAGTGGAGTTTGCCATGGGAGTGTTTGGTGCTTATTTTTAATAGTCGACACTACTTCCTTTCCCATCAGATGCACTTGGAGCACCCGAGATGCCTTTCCAATCTTCCCGAGAATCGGCCTTTTAAAAAGTTTATGGATGAAGGGCAAGATAAGGGTTTTGGCATGCTGGGCCAAACCAGGGAAATCTTACTAAGCCCTAAGCCACTGATGCTTGAATCTCAATCTCTCTGACCCCCCCGCCCCCTCTGTTGGGGCTTGAACCCGGGCCACTCTAATAAAGAACCCCATCTCTCGGCCCCGCGCATCTCTCTTTTGAGAAAATAACATGTACTTGCTCCTTGAAACCGAGGTCAGCAGTTAATCAGTCGGAAGTGTATCACGTGGGATTGGACTTCTTACACTTGGAGCACTTTCAGTTTCAGGATTTTTCTGGTTGCCTTGATTGTTAGTCGGGATATTTCTTCTGTCAGCTCTGCGTCTAGGGACAGTATTGATGTCATTGAGTTCCTTGCTTGAGCTCTTTGCCTGTTACTGTATTTTGGGGTTTCCCAGGTTAGAGAATGGACCCCTTCTCCTACTCCACTCGCTTTGTGATCACACAACCAGCTCCTTGCCCGGCGAGCGTTGAGATCATTGGGCTGGACCATCCTGGGAGTAGAAACCAGGCTCCTCTATGTTGCCTCACTCAGTTACGGTATGAATTCCCGCCGTGCTGATGTGTCATCCAGAGCAGCAGTTTATTCAGCACAATTGATGACATTCGTATATACATCAGCCTATGATCATCGCTCATTGCTGATTTCATAAGACTGGAGACACTTAACAAGTTTTGAGAATATTTTTTAGCAATTTATTTAACAATGTTTTTTGGTTTTGTATTTTTGGTTTTGTATTTTTTTAATCTTATTCAGGATGACTGGAAGGTGAGATACAACCTATGTTATTTGTAGGGGATCAGAGCCATTCTAGGGTGGGCTGGGGCTTGGGGATCTGGTGAGTTGGGGCTGGGGAGGTGTTTGTTCTTTTTCTTTTTTTTTTTTTAATGTAGGAGTACTGCTATTTATTCAGCCACGGATTAGCTGATTGAATTGTGCATGAACTCCACCTTTTTTTTCCCCATTTTTTATAATTTTATTTATTGAATCACCGTGAGAGCAGTTACAAAGCTTTCGGGTCTAAGTCTCGGTCATACAATGAAACACCCGTACCTTCACCAGTGCCCATTCTCCACCCCCCAAAATTCCAGTATACCCCCATCCCACACCCTCCCCCTACCTGTGGGACAGATGATTTTCACATTACTCTCTCTCTACTTTGATCACATTCAATATTTCCACACCAGACCCACCATTATTATTTGACATTTTACCCTAACACTCACATCTGCTGAAAAGGCAACAGTAGACAATTTGTGTTCTATTGCTGGTTATGAATAACATATGATGTTGCGTGGCTGCAGTAGGGCCATGTGATTTTGAAATTTCGAAATTTTAACACTTAAATCTGGAGGGATTTCTGCCAAAAGCCACTGGGTTTCGAGATTTGCTCCTGAGTCTCTAGGATCATGGCCGTTGAGCAGCTTGATCAGGACCCAGAGAGACCGTTCATGTGCGATGACTTGGGGTCTCATTGGGACGGGGAGATCAGGACCGGCTCCACCCCCATCCCATGAGGCCCAACAAGTTTCGTCACGGCGGGCCCTGACTGTCCAATGGCCTCTGGAGGATGACAGCCACTGAGCCGCCAGAAGGAAATAAGCGGAGGGACAGCACCCTTTCCCCACTGGGGTGGCCTGGCGACAGTAACCTACTGCGGGGTCCGAATGCATTTCTGCCAAAGCCGCTGGGTTTCGAGATTTGTTTCTGAGTCTCTGGGATCATGGCCGTTAAGCAGCTTGATCAGGAGCCAGAGAGGCCGTTGGTGGGAGAGGACTTGAGGTCTCGTTGGGAGGGGAGGACAGGCCCGGCTCCACCCCCTTCCCGTGAGGCTCAACAAGTTTCGTCACTGCGGGCCCAAGCCTGACTGTCCAGTGGCCTCTGGAGGATGACGGCCACCGAGCCGCCATGGGAGAGCAGGTGGAGTGACAACACCCTTTCCTCCCTGGGGTGGCCCGGCGACAGTAATGTACTGTGGGGTCTGGACACATTTTCTGCCAAAAGCCATTGGGTTTCGAGATTTGTTTCTGAGTCTCTGGGATCATGGGCATTAAGCAGTTCAATCAGGAACCAGAGAGGCCATGCCTCCAATTATATAGCTGAGCCAGAGGTGGTTTGTGGTTGTGTTTCCCACATACCTAACTTTTGGCCGTTTACTTTCTTGGTAAACTTTGCCCCAGGTTTTTGGGGCCTGGCCAAAGGCACAGCAGCAATTTTGGGGTATCTGGAAGTCTGAAGGCACCATCAGGCTGCTGATGCACTCACCTCACAGGTACAGATTGACCTGCTGGCAGCTCCATACCCCCCTGTTGCTTTTTTAAAGTTAGCTTTCTTTTAAAGAGTATACTTAAAGAATTCAGATTCGGGATTTTTATTTTTTAAATAAGGACACAAATAATTGTTCTCTGCCTGAGAACAATTCCCTTTAGTGAAGATTCTAAGCCCCCTTCCCTGTTGGCCAAAATCGCTACAAACTTGTGTGCTTTTGAGATTTAATAGCCTGATTAAAGTCGTTTTTTCAAGACTGGAGGTAGCTCAACTGGTTGAGTGCATACTTTGGATGCAGGAGGCCCAAGTTCACAGGGCCTCCTGAGCACTTCAGGGTGTGGTCCAGGACCCAAACCTCAATTGATTAAGTGAAATGATTTTTTTAAATCTTCTTGTCCATAATTCTTGTATGCACTACTCCCTGTTTATCATACGTTTTAACGTGGAAAACAAGATAAACAGACTTAGAAAATTTAGTATCACAAGATACAGATAACAGTAATCACTTCTGAGAAACGCACTTAATTCTGTTGGGGGTACACGAGTTGCTTGTAAAAAATACATCTAAATACATAAATGAGCATGAATGATTGATTCCTTAGTATCAAAATTTTTTGTTCCTATATAATTTACACACAATATCTGTGCTACCAGAAAAAGGAAAAAGAATTGATAACCTCTGAATAAGAGCGTAAGAATTGTTTATAAATGTCAGTTGTAATGTGTGAATCTTACGACATCTAATTTCTGTAGTGTATTTTGTTTCCTCCAAGGCTCTTAAGCTGTATTCTAGTTATGCGACTTCTAGGTAAATTACTGGTGAATTTAGCTGTTTGGCAGCTGCATTTCAAAAAATGAAGATAATTAGGATTAGGTGAGGTATTGCAGGCACATTGTGTAAGGCATTGGCTTTGTAAGCAACCCTGGTTCATTCCCTAGAGCTGCATTGTCCCTCGAGCACCCCTGGATATGATGTAGCCCCTCACCCACTCTCCAAAAGGTGGAGACTTTTTTACGACAATTGTCTTTAATGTTCCAAGAATTGCTTCCGTTTTAGATATCGGCCAGTTCGTTTTATAAAGAAGAGAAAACTTGGGGCTGGAGCAATAGCACAGTGGGTAGGGCGTCTGCCTTGCACGCGGCCAACCCGGGTTTGATTCCCAGCATCCCGTATGGTTCCCCCAGCACCACCAGGAGTGATTCCTGAGTGCAGAGCCAGGAGACCCATGAGCATTGCTGGGTGTGACCCAAAAAGCAAAAAAAAAGAAAGACAACGACAAAGAAGAAGAGAGAAATAAAGCCTCCCTCACGTAGCTAATTAGTGGCTTAGAGGGGCTAGAACCCAGTGCCTCCTGACTAGGTTATATGCTGCTTCTGCTCTGGTCCCTCCCCTCTTCCCTCCCCTCTTTGGCCTCCTTGTCTTCATCCTACAGATCTTTGTTGCTGAGTGCTAGAGTTGGGACAGGCGCATCAACAGCAGGAAACCTTTCTTTTGGTGGCAGGGGGACACACTCAAGTGACCCTTGGGGCTGCTCCTGGCTGGGTGCTTCAGGGTCACTCCCAGCAGTGCTCTGTGGACGCTCCAACGCAGGGCTGTGTCTGCAAAGCATCACTCCAGCTCTGAGTGTCCCTGAAGCCCTTCTTGTTCTTGTGGACTGAGCAGTTTAAAAGGAAAGAGAAGCTGGCATAAAATGATCAGTGAGAAGTTTGTATCATACACAGGAGTTGCAAACCATGAACCATACAAAGGGCCTTTGCCTGGATTGCTCACTCCCTTGGCCTCGTGATTCGAAACCTCATTTCCTGTAGTAATCTGCTCAGCTGCCACCTCATGTGGCATGTCTTCTGGGCCCACGGTCTGGAGGAGCACTCCCATTCCCTGCTTCTGCTTGGGTTTTTTTTTTTTTTTTAAATAACGACATTTATTTGCTTTTTGTTGTTGTTGTTGGGCCACAACCAGCGGTGCTCAGGGGTTACTCCTGACTCTGCACTCAGGAATTACTCCTGGCAGTGCTCAGGGGATCATATGGAATGCCGGTGATCAAACCTGGGCTGGGCGAGTGCAAAGCAAATGCCCTACCCAGTACTATCACTCCAGCCCCTTCATTTGCTTTCTTAGATTTTCAGTTCTTCTTCTAGAATGATTCCTCCTTCCTATAGAATGTAAACCTCGTGAGAGCCAGAGATTAGGTTTTTATCCATTGCTCTATTATTGTATCGTTGTATGACACAGTAGGTGCTCGTTAGATTAGATTAGAACGAACGTATAAATGAATGAGCCTCATAGTTGTAGTCAGTCACTGTCACTGTCCTCCTGTTGTTCATCGATTTGCTCGAGCAGGCCCAGTAACGTCTCCACTGGAGACTTTGTTGTTACTGTGTCTGGCATATCGAATACGTCACGGGGAGCTTGCCAGGCTTTGCCCTGCCAGGGAGATACTCTCGGTAGCTTGCCAGGGTCTCCGAGAGGGGCGGAGGAATCGAACTCGGGTTGGCCAGGTTGGCTGCATGCAAGGCAAACGCCCTTACCCGCTGTGCTATCGCTCCAGCCCTTTGTAGTCACAGGTTTGGAAAAAGTTCACTGAGGAAGAGATGACGGAGCTGATCTGAAAAATAGGTCACGTGGAGAAAAAAGGGGGGGTCAAGAGTGTCAGCTCCGCGGGTGGGCAAGGGCCTTCTCTCTTCTGCCCTTATATCCCAGCACTGTTGTCTATTGTGTATTTGGCTGTCGGTAAATATATATATTTATTTTTTATTGAATCACCCGCAGATATAGTTACAAAGCTTTCGTGATTGAGTTTAACTCATAAAACGATTGAACTCCCATTCCTCCACCAGTGCACATACCCCCCAGTGTCCCCGCCATCCCCACAGGACCCCACCTGCTTGCCTCTGTGGCAGACAGTTTCCTTCTCACTCTCTCTACTTCAGGACATTATGGTGTGCAATACGGAAAGATTTCTTGAATAAAGCATATGGATAAAATAATGTCTGAGGGAAAGGGGACATGAAGCGAAAAACTTTGGAAATGAGGAAGCTTGCTGATTTCAGAAAAGAACTGAGGGCTGGTGCGTGATGGCATGTGGAGAGCAGGTCAGGTGTGATCTGTGTCAGAGTGGGCGGATCAGAGTGTGAAGACCTGTGTAACTGAACACAGTATTCTCCCAGGCTACTTCGTATCTCTCATAAACACTAAGTTCCTCATTTGCTATAAAATAAAAGCGCCAGGTTGGTGGTTTTGTTTTGTTTTGTTTTGTTTTTGGTATGATCAGAACTGTGGTATTAAGGATTAAATAAATGGGTTCAGGGTTGCCATATCCCACTTCAGGGATTGAACGTAACACAAACTCTGCCGGGCTACCCTACCAGTGAGTATCCTTGCTTATCAAGACCATTTTAATTCAGAGAAGTATTGTATATTTGTCATACTTGACAACATTTAACCTTTTTTCTGGTTATTTTGTTTCTGTGTGTGTGTAGGCTTACATTTATACATAGCTTTATACATATGTATACATAGCTTTGCATATATACATACTTATGTATGTAATCTTTTATATATATGCATATATGTAAATTTATGTGTATGTATAATATGTAAGCTTTCCTCTTGGTAACTTTTAGATCTTTCGCACCTGTTTTGAATCTTAACTTTTTTCTTTTAAGGTTAACAGACTAGGTTATTTTCTTAATTGTTTCTCAGCCATTATAATTCTAGAAATACAAGTTATTTAGAATTCAAACAAAAGTTGACCATCTGTTTCTGTGCTGAATTCTAGGCCATTGATTTATGCCTACTCAAGAAAGTCGTTTCTAATCACTGAAACGTGGGAAAACATTATAGAATTTAATGTTTGTATAAGTGCGTATTTAACATCAGAAACTGTATTTCACCTTTAGAATTTCCAACAGAGAGTAACATCTGTTGCTGGTGATACATTAGTTAATGTTCTAAATAGTGCTACTGCAGGAGTATACCCTGTATCCTGTATCCAGCTACAGTTTTGTAAACTGTTTAAAGATCTGCAACAAAATTAGCTTATTAACTACAGGTATCAGTGGACACAGTTTTCTTACCATTTTTGTGCACTTCGTGGAAGGGCACTTGGGTAGAAGCACAAGCTGATCCACAGGGCTTCCCCCCTCGGATGAAGCTCCTGAAATGCAGCTTGCTGCCGAAACAAAACAACTTGTCAAAACTGTAATGATCTATGGCGAAGATAAAATACTAATCCTTGGAGGTATATTGATCTTGTGGACTTGAGGTCCTCATTAGAAGTGGAACCAGTAATCGGGGAATGTGGTGGTGAGAGAGCAGTCGTTCGGAACTTTGGAAATCACGATCGCTTTATTTTGCCATGACAAGCCACAAAAGACTCATTCTGGGATTTAGTAAATTACACTTTTGGAGGGAACTCACTTTTGATATATTTGGAGTTTCTTTTGCATTTTGTTTTGCTGTTTGCTTCTGGGATCATAGGTAATGAATCGATTGTTAACAGCAATGATAAAAATAATGTTGATTTAGTTTGACTGATATTTGATGGTTTTGTTTACTTTGCAGCTTTGATTAGTTTGTCCTTTGGAGGAGCTATCGGGTTGATGTTTTTGATGCTTGGATGTGCCCTTCCAAAATACAAGTACGTAACATTTTGCTCTATTTGGTTGCTTGAGGGTATTTTTTTTTCCACTTTCAAATGTAATTGAAACACTTTTTCACTGCCATGCAAGTCATCCCGAGAAACGTTCATTTGTAAAGGACAAACCTTTTTGTCTTTGCTTAAATTTTCTTATTATAGTTTTTAGGACACCCGCACGCAAAAAAAAGGTATCTATTATTTCTTGTCTTAATGGCAGCACAGTAGACCAGCACTGCTGTGTAACTTTGACCATTTGTTGACAAAATAACAATAAACTAAGTAAATTTCATGCAAACAGAACTTTCCTCGGCATAGAAATCACTTTAAAAAATTAATAAAATAATTCAGAGGTTGGAGAGATGGTATAGTGGGTAGGTGGTTCCTTTGTATGTGACCAACCCTGGTTCCATCACCGGCATCCTGTGTCATCTCTCAAGCAGTGTCAGGAGTAATCCCTGAGTGCAGAGACAGTAGAAAGCCCTGAGCACTTCTGGGTGTACCCCCAAAATACATTTATAGACCATAGAAAATGGGTATTAAACACTTAAAATTTAAGTATACTCTGGCTCACTCAGAATAGAAATTCATTAGCTTAGGTAAGAGATCTGGGCAAACAGACACTGTACTGTACTGTGACCAGAAGGACCAGAAGTAGAACAGTAGCAGTCTTTTTAGAGGCTAGTTTGCCTCTAGCTTTCATACATACATGCAAAAAATGTATGCATTCTTTGAACAGATCTTTCCAATTTTTTTTTTTTCTTTTTGGTCACACCCGGCAATGCACAGGGATTACTCCTGGCTCTGCACTCAGGAATTACTCCTGGTGGTGCTCAGGGGACCATGTGGGATGCTGGGAATTGAACCTGGGTCGGCCACGTGCAAGGCAAATGGCCTACCCGTTATGCTATTGCTCCAGCCCCCCCCTTTTCCAGTTCTTAGAATTTTTTTGCAAATCTATTTGATGTTTGCAAAGCTGCTTACAGTAGGGAAGGAAAGAGAATGTGGCTGATTATTGCAGCCTTTTATTTGATTAGATACACTGGAAGTACCTTAAAGGTCTGTCTTGAAAGATCTATCTAGGGGCTGGAGCGATAGTACGCTGAGTAAGGCTCTTGCCTGTGTGCTGCCAAACTGGGTTCCGTCCCTGGAACCACAAGCCCTACCAAGTAGAGTGATGGGTAAGCCCTGAACACCAGTGAGTGTAGACACAACCCCCCTCGATTTAATTATGGTATATATACCAATGGGATTACTGGAAATCTTAAAATGAATGAGGCAGATCTTTACATTCTAGAATGTAATGATACTCAGGATAATATATTAGGTAAAAAATGCAGTGGTGAATTCGTAGCTTGGAAGTTTATGTGGCAGTATGGATAAGTTTCCAAGAAACTCAGTAGGAGAGTAGGAAAGGAAAGATGGAGGTGAAAGGTGGGGAACTTTGAGTTTTCGCTCACATTTTTTGTATTTAAATTTTCTCTTAAGCTTGTATCCGTTTGGGCTGGAGCGATATATATATAGCACAGCAGGTAGGGCGTTTGCCTTGCAAGAGGCCAACATGGCCGACCAGAGTTTGATTCCTTCGCCCCTCTCGGAGAGCCCGGCAAGCTACCGAGAGGATCTTGCCCGCACGGCAGAGCCTGGCAAGCTCCCCGTGACGTATTCGATATGCCAGACACAATAACAACAAAGTTTCCCGATGGAGACGCTACTGGGCCCACTCGAGCAAATTGATGAACAACGGGAGGACAGTGACAGTGACATGTATCTGTTTGTAATTTGTCTTATTCCCAGACTATTAGTAAAATATTTTTAAGAAAACTTGTCATGGTTTATTGACAATCTTCGCTGTTGTTTTATTTTTTATGTTTTGATAACAGTAGGCAGTTCTTTGTGATCTATGGAAAGTTTAGGGTGTTTCAGGTTGATACTAATGTAGGATATGAGACATTAAAAGTCAGGGGAGGGGCTGGAGCGATAGCACAGTGGATAGGGCGTTTGCCCTGCATGCGGCTGATCCGGGTTTGATTCCCAGCATCCCATATGGTCCCCGGAGCACCGCCAGGAGTAATTTCTGAGTGCATGAGCCAGGAATAATTCCTGTGCATCACCAGTGTGACCCCAAAAAAAAAGGGAAAAGGGGGGAAAAAAGTCAGGGGAGAGCCAGAGCGATAGTATAGCAGGTGGGGTGTTTGCCTTGCATGTGACCAACCCAGGTTCAATCTCCAGCATCCATATCGTCCCTCAAGCACTACCAGCAGTAATGCCTAAATGCAGAGCTAGGAGTACCCTCTGATCATTGCCAGGTGTCACCCAAAATTACAAAAAGGAAAGTCAAGGGCATGAGTCTTTTTTTTTTTTTTTGCTTTTTGGGTCACACCTGGCTATGCTCAGGGATTACTCCTGGCTCATGCACTCAGGAATTACTCCTGGCAGTGCTCGGGGGACCATGTGGGATGCTGGGAACCGAACCCGGGTCAGCCATGTTGGCTGCTTGCAAGGCAAATGCCCTACCCGCTGTGCATTGCTCCAGCCCCAAAGGCACGAGTCTTGAATATTAAATTTGTTGTGCTCATATTCCAGTTTTCATTAGTTTTAATAATCTAAAACAAAAAAATAATTTTTGACCTTGATTCCAACTGTCATAAAAGCATTATTCCTTGGGGTGGATTTTTGGTGGTTGGTTTTTTGTTTCTATATTTTTGCATTCCAGGCCCCTCACATACTAGGATTTGCATTACCACTGAACCATGTCCGTAATTGACCTTAGGAATATATGAATCTAAATGTTCCTCTTCAGTAATCAGGTTATAACTTATTTTTAAACTGTGTCATGTTTGTATCTTGCTTTATTCCTTTTGTCCTTATTAAATGAAAGCTTATTTTCTGTGTGGGAAAATTGCTTAGGTAGCAAAAACTACATTAACTTATTTTTCTTTTTCTAGCCAATACTGGCCCCTCTTTGTTCTGTTTTTTTACATCCTTTCACCTATTCCATACTGCATAGCGAGAAGATTAGTGGATGATACAGATGCTATGAGTAATGCTTGTAAGGAACTTGCCATATTTCTTACAACAGGCATTGTTGTCTCAGCTTTTGGACTCCCTATTGTGTTTGCCAGAGCACATCTGGTAAGTGATCTTTGTACTGAAAAAATTATTTTATAGAAACAAATACTAAGATTTCTCCCAGAAATAAGTTTTTGTTAAATGATATTTTAAAAAAAGGATGAGAGACATAGGAACCTAGGAAATAGAGCTTCAGATCTTATTTTCTTTGTTGTTAATGGATAGAAATATTGTGTTAGAGGCCAGAGCTGTGGCTCGGTGACGAGGCTCATGCTTCGCATGCATGCGGGCCTGGGTTCGATCCTTGCTGCTGCAGGGAGAACGAACTTGGCTCGCCAGAATTAGGCCCGTAATCCACTGCCGAATAACTGCAGTCTTCCCTATATACCTGCAAACGTGAAACTGGGACTGCGGAGACAGTACAGCAGGTAAGGCATTGCATACAGCCAACCCGGGTTCGATACCTGGCACCCCATGCGGTCCTCCAACCGCTGTCAGGGTAATCCCTGAGCACAGAGCCAGAAGTAAGCCCTAAGCACAGCAGGGGTGGCCCCAGAAAAATGAAAAAGAGAAGGGCTAGGTTACATGTGCATCTTGACACACTCCTCTTCCTCATGAGCTCAGTAGATTCCCTCCATTTCTGAGGGCAGAGCAGGCACAGGCCAGACGGAGTGGGCGATGACTGCCCCTGCCCTCCCCTGCCCTATAAAAGTACATACATGAAGGCTGGAAAGACAGTATAGAAGGTAAAGTGGTTGCCTTGCATGTTACTGAATGTCACTGACCTGGGTTCTCTCCCTTGCAACACAGGTAGTCCACCAAGCCCCACCACAAGGGATTCCTGAGTTCTTTGGATGTGGTCCAAACACAAAAAAATAAAATTAAATAAAAGTTGTATGTAAAGTGCCAGAGAGGTGGCTTTCAAGGCCGGAGTGTATGCTTTGCATGTGGGAGCCCTGGGTTCAGTTTCCCATCACGGTGTGTTCGCCCAGGTGTGGCCTCAAAACTGACGTCACAAATTATGTACACAGATGTGTTGTAATATCCAATGCTATGAATTAAATGAAACTTTGGGTACACGAAGGAAAAGTTAAAGCAATTTTTTTTTCTTTCTTTTTGGGCAACATCCGGTAATGCACAGGGGTTACTTTTGGCTCTGCGCTCAGGAATTACTCCTGGTGGTGCTCAGGGGACCATAATGGGATGCTGGGAATCGAACCCAGGTCAGCCACGTGCAAGGCACAAGCCCTACCCGCTGCGCTATGGCTCCAGCCCCAAACAGGAAATATGTTTAAAAGCAACAAATTGTAGAAATCTGTGCCACTTCCTCATAATCCCAAATCAGTCTTGCTTTTAAGTCATTATCACCTTCAGTAACTATGGGAGTGGGGAGGTGGGGATTGGGATGATTGTTTCGTCTGGGGGCCATACACACTGGTGTTTGGGGGACTATATTATGCCAGGGATTAAATTCAAGGCTTCAGTATAAAAAGTATGCACTCCAGCCCATTGAACCATCTCCCCACCTGAATTTTTGCCTTGACACTTTTTTATTAATTGGGAGAGAAGAGAGAAAGTACACCCCAAAGTTGGGTTGTGGGCAACCCCAGAATGGAGTGTGCCCAACTTGTAACTTTTGTCGGGAGCCAAGCATCAATTGAAACAGCAGTATTGAAGTGCCACTAAGTATCTAGTGAAAATGTTACAACAAATCTTACTTGTTTGGGGACACTGTTGGCTTATAGGTAGCCGTTGTCTTTCCTGTTCTTTTGGTCTGTTAATTGAGAATTTTTATCTTTTCATAGATTGAGTGGGGAGCTTGTGCACTTGTTCTCACAGGAAATACAGTCATCTTTGCCACTATACTAGGCTTTTTCCTGGTTTTTGGAAGCAGTGATGACTTCAGCTGGCAGCAGTGGTAAAAGGACCTTCTGAACTACTGTCGAGTGGACTTCTAGGCATTTGTCCGTCACCCATGCACACAGGAGGTGGGGAAGCAGCCCTGAATGGTGGAAGCAAGCCTCGCGGGGGTATTCCGGTGCTCCCTTCTCATTTTATTGTAAGCGTACTATTTTCACAGAGACTTGCTGAAGGATTAAAAGGTTTTTTTCTCTTTTGGAAAAGCTTGATTGATTTCACACGTAACCATATGTGCTTTTTGTGGTGTCCTGCTGAATTTAAATATTTATGTGTTTTCCCTCTTCTTTTTATTTAAAAGTCTATATGCAATGTTAAACATTTTTAAAATGTAATAATCATTTTGCATTGGTTAGAAATTAAAAATTCTGCTGACTTATATTACGGGCCTAAGTTTAGTGTATCTTTTCTCTCAAACTTATTTAGCTGCCATTATTTCAGAAAGTTATAAAGTGAGTTTTCAGTCAGTCAGGATGATACCACTCCCAATTTTATGCAAACATGCAGACTGTTGCATTCTTTATAGACTAGATACTCAGAACAAAGACCACTGCACTATACCTCAGAGGGGCCGAGTATTCATTCCTCTACCCTCTACAAGGGTTGCTGGTTTTGCCAGTAAGTAGGAGTTTTGCGTATTGAGAATTATTTTAAGAAATTGCTACAGAAGAGTGCTTTTCTTCTGAATTGTGAAAATTTATTGTTAAACTTTTAAGGGTGTAAAAAACAGATTTTTGAGATGGTTTTTATTTATGTTTATTATACGATAGAGTGAGTTGTGTTGTGGGAAGAAATGTTAAAATCCATTTTTGAATCCTTTTTCTATTTATAAGTGAAATTTTTGGATTTCTCTCAGCCTTTCATGTTTTACCATGGGTAAAATGGATGTACATGGAACTACTGCTGGTAAGGGAAAGCTGTATATTTGGGACATATATGCCAGAAAGCCTTTCCCTGCTTTCTCCTTTAACTTATTTTATATGTTGTATATATTAAGTAAAATAACTTTTCAAGTATAGTTTAACAACACTTTAAATTAGAAGTGTTGAAATTACCTGGGACCTAATTGCTATGCCATACATCCAGAGTGCCCTGCCCCACGCAGCCTTGAGACGATTAACAAGTGACTTGTTAGTCTTGCAGATAATTCATGCATTAACAATTTAAGACTTAGACCATGGTAATTGTAGATCTCTATTCTCTATGTTATATCATATGTAATTTTAAAATATTGCAGACAAGTTTCCTGTATACCTCAACTGTTTTGGTTTCATCATGATAGACCTGCGGTTCCTTTTCTTTTTAAATGGCATTTATTATGTGAATTAATGCAAAGTAGCCAAATCCAGCTGTATAGCAACGTTAGAGACAGACCTGACCAAAAAATTCTCAGTAACCAGGCATGATCAAATGGTAGTAGTTATGTGCTTCTCATAGTTACCAGTACTTTCTTCAGAAACTAGTTATAAAAATCCTGAAGTTGGTCTGAGACTGTTTTGTTAGTATTTGTTTTCCAATATACTTACATAAAAAATTGTTTTGCCTTCAGACAAAGCTGAGTAATAAAACTGTCTTTGTTTCATAAAGTTTGTTTCTCAAGAAAATGGCAACAAATTTTGGATTTGTTTAACTTTTACTAACGACACCTAAAAGCCACAGTTTTTATTGCTGAACCCTAATTGTTCTTTTTGGCTGTGATTGGAAGCAGAATAAATTTTCTGCATGTGGCTGAAACATTAACTCATTAGGCAGAAAATGGCTTACAGTGTTACAGTGTTCTAGACTTAGAGAGGGTAAAACGGATAAACAGGACCAGAGCTGGGTCCCTGTGTCCTTGGGGCTCTGTGTGTAGAGAGAGGACTTTCCTCCGTCCTGCTCTGTGTTCTGCTAGAGCGTCAGCGCACTGCACTCCTGCTGTGCTGTTTCCTTGGCCGTAGACTCTTTCTGACCGCTGCATATTCTTTCTGTGCACTAACTGCATTGGCAGCTTTGTGTTCTTAACCCTGTACACTAGTTGGGCATAGTGCTGTCTAGGATTTCTAGGCTGTTACTTGAGGTATGAATTTTCCATAGAATATGCACTGATACTGCATTGCCATTCTTCTATGGAAAGAAAACTTTTGATGCTGAAACAATAAAGATTTTAAGTATCAATTTTAGCTTGTGGGTGTTTTTGAAATAAAAGACACACTGCACACTTTGGTTCCTGAAGTGCATGAAACTGGTTTCATAGCAGGATACAGAGCCACATGACTTTCATTACAGTGCGAACTTGCAGAAATTTTACTTCCAGAATGAAGTCAAAACTATAATAGCAAGATTCACAGTGAAACGCGATGATTTTGAATGATAGTAATAGGATTGGTAATCTGGGAAGTATAATTTTTACCTAATCCTTTATAAAAGCAGTCATCAAAGGTTTTGTTACTATGAAAAGAGAAGTGATCATCTAAAATCTAGATTCTGTTTATTCTTTAAGTTTACGGCACATTTTGTGACTGCTTGTTTCATCATATGTTACCATTTGTTATTAAATAATTTTGTTTTTTGCAAACATTTCCAACAGTTAAAGGTGAAAAATTAATCTGTGGGGTATAATGTGAACAGAGAAAAGTACTGTTCTCCCTTATCAATATGAATCTTGTCCCAAATTGTCCTATTTGCAATCTCCTTTACGTCCTGAAATTCCCATCACGAACAGGAGCAGGCCTAAAGGTCCCATGCATGTGGCTTGCGTTGGGAGCCCTGGGTTCACCCCCCTGCACCGCACAGTCACTGGAACAACTCCTGATCATGGCACCAAAAAATAACAAGCAGCAGCAGAAACCTCCAAGTTTAGATAATAGGTTCTTAATTTCTACTCTTAATATGATATTTTTCGAGGCATTGTCAGAAAAACTCACATTTCTGAAATAAATTCCAGAATATGCATATTTATGACTAGATACCCAAGTTTTAGATAACTTTGAAATAGTGCACCAAAAAATGAATTAATTAACTAAATTAAATAGTGCACCAAGTTAACCGGCAACCCTGTAGCATTAACAGTGCTTTATATGTTTTAGATCTAAGATACTTTTCATAAAGTCTAAAATAAATAAAATAAAATAAATAATTATTCATAAAGTCTATGAGAAATTAATATTTCTTTCATTATTTTTGGTTTTGGGGCCATACCTGGAGGTGATCAGAGCTTATTCCTGGCTCTGTGTTCAGGGATCACTCCTGTAGGCTCAGGGGGACCATATGGGATCTCCAGAGAGAACCTGGGTTGGCTCCCTACCTGCTCTATTTACTGCTCCTGCCTCAAGATTTCTTTTAAGTGCTGGGATTATTCCTTCAGTGATTAGGGGGCTCTTAATTTATTCCATACCTCCTAATTTTCTGGCATTTTGTAGGAAAGGATTCCAAAAAGCTGTCATTTAACCCAAAAAGAACTAACATTTGTTTCATTTTAATCATTTTAATGGAAGTACTAAGTTCTTTTGTACTCCTTAGAATCTGTTAAAGCTTTTTAATCTCTTATTGGATTTTGGATTATAATTTAATTTTCCCCGTTTTATTGCCCAGACATATATTTTTCTGAAATTTTTATTTCTGCGTCCCTTTCTTAAAACAGAGTGTGTTGCTGGCACTTCTTAACTCTTGTTTCTTACCAGGATAGAGGTCAGTAGAATTACTGCCTTACATGTGTGAGACAATGGGTTTGACCCCAAGACCTGCAGAATCATCCACATAAACTTACTAGTTTATATTAGGAAAAAAAGGAAGGCGTCAGGAGAGTCAAGCTGACTAACATTTCTGTACATAGTACATTAACCAATACTGTGTTCTTCCACCTCTTACACTAACGAACTGCTCTGTGATGTGTATTTCTCTCTAAAAAGACTTAAATTTTTTTAAAAATGAGGTTTTTGTTTTGTTTTTTAATTAAGAAGGCATTTATTGGAGAGCAGGAATCACAAGACAAGTCCACAAATACCAGGTAGCCCCAGGGTGTGGTCCAGCAGGGATAGAACCCAGGGAATTTACACGGGACCCACAGTAGAACCATCTAAGCCTCTCTAGGCCAATTGTTGGAAACACAGGGCAGTTTGACTGGAACCTTCAGACTGAGTGTTGCCAAGTAGTGTCTTTGTAACAATAGGCAGGATCACTCCTGCCAGACTCCGGAGGACTGAACCGAGTGACAGGGCTCTAACCCTGGTGTACTGCATGTAGGGCAAGCGCCCTCACTGCCACAATACCACTCTGACTGGAGACCAGTGTGTTATGATAAAACTCTTGCTGTCCTCCAGAATCTACCGGGCAAACTCTGTTTCTTCAAGCTGATTGTGTTTTGCCCACACATCTCTCCACGTGGCAGGTCAGACAGATGTAGTCTGACTCCACACAGGCTCCACATTGAAGACCAAATCCACATCTTCCTTCAACAGGCAACATTCTCCCCCATCGTTTCATTGAGTTGGGTACATCTTGGTTCCTTGGAACCCTGCTCCGGGGCACTTCTCAGCCTGAGACTGTTAATCGTACAGTCAACCTCTCCTTTGCACTGCATCCTCAAGCAAGCAATGCACTCACACTTACCCAGGAGTACGCTGACTCAGGTGCTGGTCATAGCCATCCTCAGCAGCCTCTCATGGCTTCTTGACAACAACCAGGACCAGAGACCTGCCAACTCCTGCCCACACAGTGCTAAGAATATTGTTCCTAACTGTCTGGATGATGGGAGGTTCCAGAAGCAGCACCAGGAGGGAAAGAAAGGTGTTACCGAGGCAGCAGGTAAGTCGTGTATATCTTTTAGAGGAGGTGTCATCCCAAACCTAAATATTGAGATGTTTGATTTCTCAGATTTATATCTCATCACCATTAGTTTTAGTTAATAAAACGTCTACGGATGAGGGATGGGACCAGGTGGTAAAGTCGAGAGGAGAAAATGTGTTTATCTTTACAGGAAAATTATTACTACGTAATTTGTTTCCAGGCTTTTGAAGATGATTTGATTTCCTGGGTTTGCTCATCACAGCAGTTCAAATATTAATCATTAAACTTGGAAACGTCAGTCAGGTAAAATAGAAAAATCTCTCAAAATTTTCTGTAAATGAGGTAATAAGACCATAAACTATTCCTTTTTAATGATAAGTCTTATTTGTGAGTTTTATTAATTGGGTGTAATTAGGAATGTTAAATTTAAGGCAGTATGGCCAATATAAGGAAACATTGTTACCATTTAAAGCCAAATATTCTTCAAGATTATCTGTCTTTAGGAACAGTGCTATTTAGTACTTTGTCTTGGTTTACACTGACAATTTTAACAGAACCTTTTTTTTTTTTTTTTTTTTTTTTGCTTCTTGGGTCACACCTGGTGATACACAGGGGTTACTCCTGGCTCTTCACTCAGGAGTTACTCCTGGCAGTGCTCAGGGCGTCATATGGGATGCTGGGAATCGAACCCGGGTCGGCTGCGTACAAGGCAAACGCCCTACCTGCTGTGCTATCTCTCCAGCCCTTAACAGAGCCTTTTTTCTCTAATCAGAACTGTCACATTAAATATAGTGATGCCATGAAAGTGTGACACCCCCCAAAATAGGATAGCTATTTTCCTAAAAGCTTGATTTAATTGCATAGAATATTTGAGGATTGTTTGTAAAGGTGTTCCCGATTTTGTTGTTGTTGTTTTCTTGGGAAGGGGGATTTTGGCTCACAGCCAGGGCTCATTCCTGGCTCTGTACTTGGGAAACCATATGTAGTGCTGGGGAATCAAACCAGAGTCAGCTGCATGCAAAACAAATGCCTTAACTTCTGTATCTCCTAAGGATTAAGAAAATGAGGACCAGAAAGATACCTCAGTGGAATGAGCACCTGCTTTGCGTGCTCAGTCCCCAGCACCACCTGGTCCTTTCGGTAGTTTGAGCCAAACTCTGTACTAGAAGTGACACAGATTGTAAAGATGAAATGGTCGAATAATTTGTTCAGTGGCTTGTTTTGTACTTAAAACTATCTTCAAAGTAAAGTAAAGTAAAGGCCCCCCTGTTGATCGTCGATTTGCTCGAGTGGGCCCAGTAACGTCTCCATTAGAGACTTTGTTGTTACTGTGTCTGGCATATCGAATACATCACGGGTGGCTTGCCAGGCTCTCCGAGAGGGGCGGAGGAATCGAACTCGGGTCGGCCATGTTGGCCGCGTGCAAGGCAGACGCCCTACCCGCTGTGCTATCGCTCCAGCCCCATAAATAAATGTTCACATCTAGACAGATGAGAAGTTTCCAAAACTGTTACCAACCAATTAGGTAGAAATGATGAGATGTTCACACTTCACGTATTTCACCTTGGCTATGCCATTGAGATCAACGTACTTTAGATTCAAATTTAGAAAAGCTTGATTTAAACTTCCTCCAGGAAGGTTCTTTGTTCCCGGCAGCAGTTAGGTACTACATGAATATGTTCTAGATACCCCTGGGGAAAAAACACAGCTCCTGTCTGAACTAGCGATGGAGGAAAGTGAGACAGACAGAGGAACAGAGCAAAGGAAGCGAAAGAGGTGGGGGGTTGGGACGAGGGCAGAGGGAGTTCACATCCAGGCAAGAGGAGGCTTTTAAGGAGGATCATATGTTTTGCATCAGTTAGCCTGACTGACAGGAAGCGCCATGGGGCTGAAAGTTTCTCTAGCGTAACATCCTAGAGAGATGTTAGTGACTTAGAGTATATTCTGTTATTTTAGTTTGCTTGGGGGCCACACCCAGCGCTGGACAGGCTCTGTGCTCAGGGTTCACTCCTGGTGAGGCTCATAGTCGACCAAATGCAAGACAAAAGTCCTAACCCCTGTATTATCTCTCCAGCCCTTTTACATTTTAATGATTCATTGAAGTGAATTGGATCACAAGTCTATAAATGTATGTTTTAGGAGTGTATTATTGTCATGCTGCCAGCAAAATGCCAGTAACCCTTGTACACAGTCCATAAATCTTCCCTGCCATTAAGGGAATCTTACCTTCTCTGTCAGAGGCTATGGACAATCCAGTCTTCTTTGAGACTACTTGGCAGATGTGGATCACCTGTCAGCTTCATAGTCTCTCTCTTGGAAATGTTCCCAGTTTTTAACTTCAAGTTAATCAAGAAGTCTTGTTGGCTAATGAGCCTGGCCAGTCTGACATG